TGTTTTTCTTAATTTTGGTGCCAAACTCAAGTGAAAGCTTGTTTTTGGGACGGAAGGAGTATTAAATCTCATGCTCACAAAATTTGACGTAAAGGAAAGAAGTGGAAGGTCTCATGGATAGCTTTATTTATCTGCATGCAAATGCTTTATCATAATTTTCTGTTCATCTAAATTTAATCTTTTCATTTAACTTTCTTTGGTCAATGTTTATAAACTTTGATCTTGATATTCAGAAAAAACACATTATATTTCGATATGAATGTGCTATCAATAGTTTTCTTTTAAAATATAGAAATATTAAAATTTTATAAAATATATCTATATATGATCATCGATGTAAATGATAAAATATTACATTTAAGGTAGTGTGTGGATAACACTATGGTCTATGGTCCACCTCTGCACTTTATGTCTTGGCCATTTACATCGTTGGATTTTCGCCAATAAGAAGCTAACACTACGTTTGGTTCAAGGATTTTGGCTGGGAAAAGAAAAGAAAATAGGAGGGAAATGTTTTTTTATATATGGTTAGTGAGAAAAAGAAAGGAAAAGTGAGAAAAAGAAAAGTGGGGAGAAAATGAAATAAAAAAGGGCAAAATCATTTTCCTCCCAATTTTGGACGGAATACGAGAGAACCATCGCTTCCTACTCGTCGCCCTATTACCTGGATCCTATCGCCATAGGAGCATACGACGCCGTTTCGAGAGGTGTGCTTGTGGTTGCATCCGCCGGCAACGACGGACCTAACCTCATGTCCGTCACTAACGTTGCTCCGTGGCTGCTGACGGTGGGAGCCGGCACGATTGACCGGAAATTCCCGGCGGAAGTAATCTTGAGTGACAGGAGGAAGTTCTCTGGGGTATCACTGTACGCGGGGTCTCCATTGAAGGACAAAATGTATCCCTTGGTATTCCCTGGCAAATCTGGGATCTCTCTGCTTCACTGTGTATGGAGAATTCACTTGACCCCAAAGAAGTCAGTGGCAAGATTGTAATATGTGATTGGGGGAGCAATCCGCGTGTGGCGAAGGGATTGGTGGTGAAGAAAGCTTAACCAAATATCATTTTCCTCATCAATTTTCATCTTAACCAAACATAACTAGAATTTTGAGTTTCTTTTTTTTTCTTTTCTTTTCCTTATCATTTTCCTTTCTTCCTTAATTCCTTGAACCAAACATAGTGTAAGAGTCCAAAAGCTTGGACCATGCATTTGTGACTCTTTACCATGGGTAGCCCGGTGGGAGGGAAACTCACGGGTTTCCACTTTACAAACGTGCCAAACAAAAGTATGCATAAGAAAACTTTCTGCTCGGGCTGCTCTAAGACCAATCACGGTGAGTATTTCCCGCGCGTGAGCTATTTCGGATTTTCGGCAACACGCGAGAAAAAAAGAGTAAATTTTCTAAGTAGTGTTTAACGATTATATGTTTTTCCCAAATCAGTTTTCAAGAAGAATTAATTGTCGAGATGATACTTGATAATTGAAAATAATGCTCAATTTAGTTTCCATGACTAACAATCATCCAAATGGTGTAAAAAAAAATGTTAAACTTTATACTATTTTTTTCAAAATTATGCTTATTGGATGTTTTCTCAAATTGATACGTTTTTAAAGTAAAACATCATTAAATACGAAAAATCGAAGCAGGAGTCCTCCCTTTTAATTAGTTTACAATGCTCGAGCAAAGTCAAAAGACCATTTTTATTAGTTTTTATTTCAAATCTAGAATAATTTGAAAAAACATTCAATTAGAGATCACCTTAGCACAAGTTTTGATGCCGTTTTGACGTTCGTTAATTGGGGGAACTGAATTGAGCATTATTCTTAATTAACGAGTATCATTTTGATAATTAATTCTAAAAACTAATTTAGAAAAACACATATTTATTGAATATCATTTTGAAATTTAGTCAAAAATATTAACGTGAGGTGGGAAGTTTTTTTCCCTCAAAGGCTATGCTTTCATTTGATTGGCTAACAATAAAGTGACACTTTTCTTTTTTGCGTCACTGATGGGGGGACCAAGGAAAAATAGCTTCCCCACAAAAAAGATGGAAAAGTGTAGAGATAGGGAGAGTTGTGAGGAAATTTTTTTACTCACTAAAAATTAGGGACCACCATGTGTACAATTTACTCAAAATTTATCTTAATACTCCGTATTACTATTCCATACAATACTAGCTAGGACCATGTTACATTTACACCAAAATTTGTACCCCAAATTTACATAAAAGATATACATCGATATATGTTTTGATCATTCACATTGATACAAAGTGTTGGTGCATTAACAAAAATTAACATTAAACCAACACAAAATGTTTGTGCATACATGCAGTGTATAAATGGGGTACAAAAACTTTGAACTACAAGGAGCTTTATCCTACTAGCTATGTTTAATCCCAAGTTTAGCATGAGTTCATATCTAATCTCAAACTTTTAATACTTTTGATTGATTAATGCGGAGTATTTTTTTCTTTTAGTTTTCTAATAATATACTTTCTCCCTCCATTTTTAATCTTCCCATTTCAAACAACGTGCAAAATCGCAATTTTTTAAATTACTTTATTTACATATTAGTATATCAAAAAAATACAAATTACATTTCTTAAAACTGCATTAAAAGCTCTATTTGTACAAAACAATATGTGACAAGATTATATTTTTTGTCTTATCAAATGATTTACAAAAATATGCACACAAATATAAGTTATTGAGAAACGTAATAGTAACTAAAACTATCTTCCCAGTTACTATTCACACAGTCAAACTTAAATCATTTTCTTTACCTATTTTCGTTAAATATTTGATAAAATAATATAGTCTCGTAACCTCTTGTTTTGTAGAACTTTTGATATGGTTTTTAAATATATAAATTTTATTTTTAAATTTTACACCTACAATTAAATAAATTGAATTAAAAATGAAGTCAGTCAAATCTCGTAAAGACAAACAAGATAGTTTTAGGACGGAGGGAGTATAAAACACTGACTCTGTCCCTTACAAGTTATCCTAATTTGCCTTTTATGCTACATTTAACTATAAATGGTAAGAAAGTACATTTAATTACGATATAAAATAAATATTTTGAGAAGCTAGGAGAAAGGCAAAAAAACAATTACATCATATCTTACCAACACCAAGCATGATATTCAGTTTGCAGTGAAACATGTTTGTTACCGTATGCATTCCTAATGCACAAGACTTCCATTCTTTGAAAAGGATTCTGTGTTATATTAAAGGAATAATTGATCAAGGACTAGTCTTTCAGCGTGGCTCTCTATCTTTTAGCACTCTTATCTTTTAGCAGATTTGAAGGTTCAAATGCCTTGTCCTCATCTTATTGGTGATAATCAGTTCGTAATTAAAACTGTCTCATGTCTTCTCAGCGAGCGGATCATTTTTTGGCTGATCTCCTCATGAAATGACTCCCCTCTCTGAAGTTTAGGGACCTCGTTTTCAAGCTTCCACTAATTTCACAATGTTGGGCTTTAGTGAGTTGCTAGACAATAATAATAATAATAATAATAATAATAATAATAATAATAATAATAATAATAATAATAATAATAATAATAATAATAATAATAATAATATAATAATAATAATAATAATAATAATAATAATAATAATGATAACAACAACAACAACAAAAGTTATATTATTAATGGCACTCTTTGTATTAGTCAACTTCTATTACTAAGTTGAATCCTATTTGTCTCAGGATTGCTTCTTCCCATATATACTCTCTTATATCTACTATTATTTCTTGAGTAAATCAATTATTCCATTATTTAAACAATAATAATAATATAAAAAACAAATAACAACAAAGCCCTATATTAGGTGGGATTGACTAACAATAATTATACAAACAAATTAAAATAATACTCATAGTAAAAATAATACTAATAACAAAAACAAAATAATGAATAATAATAATAATAATATAGAATATTTATTATTGCGATTATATAAACACATGTATACTTCTAAAAAGAAAAGAAGGGAACTATAAGTTTATTTAATCAAATGAATATATTTTATTATTGATCATCATAAATCAATAATGATTTTCAAAAGCTGTAATTATATAACACGAAATATGTTGCGTATATTATTTGTTTCTTCAATAGAGTATTCCTCTTAATTTCTAAATCAAACATCTTATATATTCAGACATTAATTTATTTAAAAAATATTTTTTAATGTTTTAAAACTGATTATGATTTATGAATGTGGGTTGGGCCGTCCTGAAGCCTGCAAATACCCGTGCAGCCCGAGCTCGGGTTTCATATGTAACGTTCGCTATCATAGCTGAGAAAGAAACCACCTATGGGCAGAGGTTATTATCAAGTATGTTCTTGGTACTTCGTAGAATTGGTGAATTTAGCAGTGGAAATATAAAGGATTTGTAATAAGTTTCAGTACTACACACATAGATATACAATATTTGTGCATTATAACTAATTTTCCTTTAAAAATTCACATTTTGATGTACAAATTATAATTCTAGACATAATTTTTCTTAACTTTTAAATTTGAAATTCCTCTCATACAAAGACATCTTATCATAATGGCAAAATATAAAAAAAATAAATAATTCAATATAGAACACTTAATTGTTGAGTTTTTTTCTTCTTCAAACACTGCCAAAACAATGATAACCGTTTAATGCTTTGTTTAGTTTCATAGTTGCCATACTCTTGTCTTTCTTTTAAATATATACACATCAAAGGGGAGTCGAGAAGTATTTCTCCAATGTCCAAAATCATGCTATGCATGTAAATTTGCTTATAAATGCTTTTTAAGAATTTGTGATGATTTGGATCATATGTTGTTATCTATGAGTACAATTTAACATGAGATGCTTTGTTGATTGTCCATGTGTATAAGAAGGCGATAAAGACTCTTGGAAGTGGAAAAGTGAAGTAGTTTAGTTAAAATAGAAAATCTACTCTCAATAATGAGCAAATAATACATAAATACATATAAAATGTAAAGACTCATGCTAATCTAATTGTATATAGTACATAAGCAAAGTAGCTCACACGGTTTGATTGTAAGATTTTGTAGTATTTCACCAAAATAAGAGCAATTAAGAAACAATCTTAAAAACTGCTATTTAACCATTCATCATTACAGGTACCACACCGGTAATTTTTTCCTCGGCCGTCTGCACTCATTAGCACCGACTCCTACCATTACATCTTGAAGATAAGCCCAAGATCACTAAAAATATTATTTATAGTTTTTATGTTAACTTTATTTGTGACATTAGTAATACATTTATACTTCACTCGGTAAAACCTTGTAAGCTACTTTCCTTATGTACCACACAACAAAATTAGCAAAGTAACTTACAGGGTTTCACCGAGTAAAGTATAATGATATTAGTAATGTCACAAATAAAGTTAAAATAAACACTAAAAATAATATTTTGAGTGATTATGGGCTTATCTTCAAGATGTAGTGGTGGGAGTCGGCACTAAAGAGTGATGACGGCCGAGGAAAAAATTACTGGCGTAGTACCTGTAATGGTGAATGGTTAGGTAGCAGTTTTTAAGATTGTTTCTTAATTGCTCTTATTTTTGTGAAATACTACAAAATCTTACAATCAAATTCAGTCCACCCAACCCTTTGGTTTCCAAGTCATATGTAATGACCTTGTCCCTCATGACACATTCTGTGAAGAAAAAAAAAAACATAATCAAAGAAATGATGCCATGTGACACTAAATACTATATACATAAATAATGTATATGAGGCAATTTGAGAAAATGAGAAGTGCTTCAAAGTTAAAATTAAGATATGTGTGACTTACAGTAGTATCACGTCTTGGCCTCATAACCATTGATGCACCTCCTTTTAAATTCAATGTTATAAGTGGAAATACATCATATGGGCTAGATACAGAGATAGAAACAATGTCAAATTTAAAGGACTTCGATATAAAAGGTAATACTTTAAGCCTAGGAGATATAAAATTATCTTGAACCTTGAAAGTACATGGTAACATCGTTTGTCTGATATAGGAATCAGACTTGCATATGTTGAAGCACTTTGGTCGATCTGTGTAAACAAAAAAGTACAATTCAGGGTTTGGTCATAATCTAGACTAGACTTGCATATCAATTTCCATATCACATTTAATTAATTGTTTTCTTGTCATGCTATAGATTGAAACTAGAGCTGGTAAATAGCATGGTTTAAATATATTATGTAGATGTATAAAATTAGATATAATGTTAAAGCATACCACATGAACTAATGGCGAAAAAACCTCCTGTGCTAGGTATACAAAATAAGTTCCAGAATCAAGTACTGTGCGCTGGTTGGCAAAGATGTCTCGGTCAATTTGCAGAGGTTGCCCATTGATATTGATGCCTTCCAGATGGACATGATAGTTCTGCCTGAAAAATAGACATGCAAAAAAGGTATATGTTACTCCAGCCAAATACAACGCACACTTTTGATAACCTAGATATGCTCACCAGTCAATGCAACAAGAAAACTCTGTAAGTAAAACGCCATTAAATACCATTCTAATTTTAATTTTGCGATTAAAGATGGACATATAATAAAAACTAACATAAAGTGTGTCTAAAAAAGCAATATTAACATAGAAGTGTAAAACACTATGAATTGGAAAGTAACCTTCAGATACATAGATTTATGACATTTTTTAAAGAAGACTCACCCAAAAACGATTGAAGTCGTGCTAGAAGTAGTAGAATTTTCAATAATAATATCCAAATGGATATTATCAGCTATATAATAGCCGGATATTCCACTACGGTCTGCATACAAGATGTTATAATTGCAGGTAGTATTTTGGGCTGAATAGGCAGTGTGATTCGAAGGGCAATGTGGATCAGAGCATTGGATCACTGAAGAGGTTGAAGAGCTTGCCGGATTGAAAAGTTCAAGCTGGATCCGTTAAAAAAAATTGAACAAGGTCAGTTAGCAGCACATGTTAATATATTGTAAATGTAAAACCAAAACATTGAATAGAAGAGGAAAAAAATAATTGTAGTATTACCAGAAGCTCGCTCAGTGAGGGACAACCACTGTGTGATGCACAATTGATCCATGAAAGCTCACTGCCTCTATCGATCAGTACATGGAATTCTACTCGGGACGAACCCAATAGAACTCGTGTATAATACTCCCTCCGTCCCAAAAAGATCTTCCTATTTCATTTTTTGCGCATATCATAAAACACTTCTATCCCGCCTCAAATGCAAAAAAAACTTTCAAAACAACTTCTACCCACAATAAATGAGAAATACGGTAAATTTTAGGCATTTTAGATGTGTGTAAAAGCGTTTTATAGGATATGAAACAGGAAGATCTTTTTGGGACGGAGGGTGTAAAACCTAAGAAAAAATAAAACGTACATTTGTACAGATAACTTTTAGAAGAATGGAAGTTAAAATCCCAAAGTAATGAAACATATAGATACATGAAGGTGCCTCTTGTTTAGTGTGAAGAGGTATGTACGCCTAGAAATTTTGGAGGTTTAGGTCTAAGAAACATATGGATATATAAAGAGAGGGGATATGTGGAATTACTCTCCTGGTAATAGTGTTATGTTTTTACTGGAAGAAAGGTATTCAAATCACTAGCCTTTTCAGTACCATGCCTAGTGATGGGGAATTAAAACCAGACCAACTATGAAATATAGACAGAATTTAAACCAGAAAGCAATCTAAAACAAACAATATCCCAGAAATATTACCCGGCAGAGTAGGGGTCGCAGGTTCCTTGAACCGGGAATTGAACGACACCGGCACCGGGTGAAACCTGCTGCATTCCTCTGTTTTTTCTTCTTTTTTCTTGTGCTTCTGAAACGTGAGAGCATCCATGGCCGTCGTACACGGCAAAGTAGTGCAATTCGTTGCGATTCTCGCGGCAGAACCACGGATGAACCGCAACCGCGTCCTCCATATCCCGCCGCCGTCCGCAGACGCCGAATTTCGGAAGGAAATCGGAAGTTAACGGGTCAAAATCAATCCAGCTTGTCCACTCAACCCCGATTTCCTCAGCATCCGCCGGAATTGCGTTATGGCAGAGCCATCCGGAGGAACAACGTCTCAGAATCGAGGAAGCTTTCAAAAGCAAAAATGCAAAATACTCACTCCGTACTGATTGTGGATGGACTGCTTCGCCATTAATACTCAAAGATTGTGGATGGACTGCTTCGCTATTAAGAAAGATAGTGGAGGGGCCTCCAATAATTGCCTTCCATCCCATGTCTTTTTTCTGTTATGAGATCTGTTGTCTTAGTCACAAGGAGCATAGTAATATGTACCTCGGATTTTGTATCTTTTTTGTATATGAAATGTATGCACCAGTATTATGATGGTTCACACTAACATAAAGTATCGGTACGTTAACAAAAATTTACACTAGCACAAAGTGTTGACGCGTTAACAAAAATTAATATTACACTAACACAAAATGTTGGTGCATCTATACGGCGTACAAAATGGATACAAATTATTGGGGTAAAAATAACTTTATCCTAGTCACAACTCACAACAAGGCCACAAAGAAATTATTGACCAAACACTCTTTATAATATTAGAAAAATAAAGAAGTGTGACAATTTTTTTGTGGCAAATTGAAAGAAAAAATGAGAGTTAATTCGGAGCATAGAAGTATTTTTATACAAATACTAATTATTTAATATAGAGGGTTTGTTATTTAACTGCTATGTAAGGTTCTTCAATTCCAAAAAACGAGAAAAAATACACAATGTATTTATAATATAAGTTTGTGTAAGGTGTTACTTGCAAAGTCGAACTAACCTTACGAAGCGGATATTTATCTTATGTGTAAGTTTTATACATTAGATCTTCAATGAATAGTGTAAAAGTTGGTAATATAAATGCAATTTTACATTCTCAATAGTGTTTTACACATCTACTTTTTTATGCTCCCTCCAACCATATCTTTTATATTATACACTTTTGTAATATTTTATTATTTAAATTTATTTATGCATAGTAAATACTATTTATAATCAGAGTATTTTAATTTATAATCCCTTTATTATGTGTAAAATCTAATCATTTTTTTGTATAAGCTAATCAATCTATTGTTAAAAGATTTCATAATATTATTTAAAAGAAAATATCTAATTAATTAGTTGTTCGTTTTTAACTTTTTTTGGTAAAATTGGTAAACATTGACTCTAAATCAAAACTGGAAAAATACTCCAGAACGGAAATAATAGGATTTTCTTTTTAGAAAGATTTTCTCTCAATATAGGATAAGATATCTATCCTTATCTAAAAATCTATATCTTATCTAAAAAAATCTTTCATAAAATATCATTTAGATAAAGTGAAAGATTTTACCGGCTTTTGGATTCAAGGAGCGGAGAGGGAGGGAGGGAGATAAAGAGAGGAGAGGGAGGGAAAAAGAGAAAAAAGGGGTCACAAAAATAAGAGTAAATTCCTAAAATAGTCCTTTGTAATAAGGGGTTTTTCCAAATTAGTCCTTAATAAGTTTTAATTACTTACGTGATCCTCTATAATTGAGATTTATTCCCAAAATAGTCTTTTGTAATAAGGTATTTTCCCAAATCAGTCCTCAATAAGTTTTAATTATCTACGTGGTCCTCTATAATTGAGATTTATTCCCAAGATGGTCCTTCGTAAATAATATTACTCAAATGAGGATTAATTGAGGGTATTTTTATCCGCTAAATTTAGAATTAAATCTTAAAATAATCATTTATAATGAAGTGCTTTCTCAAAATGGTTTTTCTAATTAAAGATGTGTATTTGATTTGAAATTTAAAATTTTTTTTAAGTTTTAAATAATTCATAATTTGTTTATAGTCAATATATTTTTAAAATTTTACATTTAATTGTACAGAAATGATTGTTTCGAGAATATACTTTAAATTTGGATGATCAAAATACCAAAATTTCTCCCAATTAATCCTTTTTTGAGGACTGGTTTGGGAAAACATCTTATTACATAGAGATAAACCAAATACATTTATAAAACTTAAAAAAAAATTTAAATTTCAAATCAAATACACATCTTTAATTAGAAAAACCATTTTGGGAAAGTATTTCATTATAAATGATTATTTTAAGAATTGATTCTAAATTTAGCAGAGAAAAAATACACTCAATTTATTCTCATTTGAGTAACATTATTTACGAAGAATTATCTTGGGAATAAATCTCAATTATAGAGGACTACATAGGTAATTAAAACTTATTGAAGACTATTTTGGGAAAACACTTTATTACAAAGGACTATTTTGGGAATAAATCTCAATTATAGAGGACCACGTAGGTAATTAAAACTTATTAAGGACTAATTTGGAAAAATCCCTTATTACAAAGAACTATTTTGAGAATTTACTCCAAAAATAATTAAGTGAAATGGTAAAGAGACGAGAAACAAGGGGTCACAAAAAGGGGTCAAAAGGGGAAAAAGAGAAAAAAGGAGTCACAAAAAGAGAAAAAAGGGGTCACTTTATCATTTAGATAAAGTGAAATGATAAAGAGCGGAGAGGGAGGGAGTGACGAGAGATAAAAGGCGTCACAAAATAATTTTTAACTCTTTTTACTATCTACAGTAACTTTAGAAATAGGAGGCGTGAGTTCATTTTTGCAGTATAGGGCATTTTATTATCACAATTACACTATCCCTTGGAGTGAGATAAAATGAATAATAAAGTGTAAAGAGTATATATTTTACAATATGCCCTATGCATTGGAGTTGCTCTAACTATGAAAGTTTTTCCATCGCTTGCAAAGATGGTACTTATTCCTCTGTCTAAAAATTAATTTCTCAATTAATTTTTCACGGTCTCCATCATAAAAATAATATTTCAAAATTGTATTTCAAATTGAATCTATTGATATTAAGAGTCTGTTCTTTAAAATTGTATTTCAAATTGAAGGAACTAGAAGAAATTAGAAGAAACTAGAATTAACTGGAAAAACTTCAAAAAATTGGAAAACCTAAAAACCTTTTAAAAAAATAGTTTAATGTATTTTTATATTATTTTCATTCTAATTGTTGTTGTTATAAATTATTATCATCATCATCATCATCACGTTATCTTAATAAATGTCTTTAAGATAAAAAAGTATTGTTATTTTTTATGCACAAAAAACTATTTTTGCAAAAAATAATAATTATAATTTAAAGTTAGCATAAATATCAAAATGTTAAATTTTAAATTTTAAAATTTATTATAAATAATATAATATATTTGTAATTATACTTTATATATTACAATATTTTGTTTTATATATCAGACATGTCACATAATGTAATCAAACTTATTTTTTCTTTCATGAATGACGTTTTATTTTTATTGTAATAACTTCTATTTTTAGGATAAAGACGTTGAACTTTTTTTTATATTTTTTTATATTTTACTTTTTTCTTAACTATTTTGACTTTCAATTTTTTTATAAAAATTAGAAAAATGAGAAAATTTTGAGTAATAAAAGGAAAAGTGAGGGGTCTTATATAAAGTTAGATTAATTAAACATTCTATGAACTATTTTATCCATAATTTTTTAATATAATTTAAAATATTGATGTTTTCTTGTTTTATCATGTAAATTAATATACAAAAAAATTGTCTTATTCATATTAAAAAGTTGAAGAAAAAATAATGAGTGTGAATTGTAAAAATAGTAAAATAAAAAAATAATTTATAAATTATAGTTATGAATATAACAGTTGTAATAATAATGATAGTCACATTAAAAATATATCGTTTTTAAAGTAATTGGTTGGGGGTAGAAGGAATTTGAAGAAAATGAGAATAGTTAAAAGGAACTAGAAAAAACTGAAAGCAAAGGAAGAATTGAAAAGAACTCTAAGTAAATGTAGAAATTGTTGGGGAAAGATGCTGTTGGAAGGATACAAAGAAAGTTTGGATCATACACACACCAAAAATTGTGAGTGCTTCGCTATTAAGTTTCATTAGCAAGGATATAAAATGTTAAAAATGATTACCGTATATAGTTCTACCTTTATTACAAAGTAAGTTTTTCACTTTTTGTCACAAGAGGTAGTGAGATAGTGGAGAGACCAATAATTGGGTGTTCAAATGTCTTCATTTTCAAAACCAGCAAATAGCATAAAAAAGGGGTTTGAAAGATAATCCCATGTTTTTTTTCTATTTTGAGATATGTTGTCTTAGTCACAACTCACAAAATGGCCACTGGGAAATTATTGACCACACACTCTTTATAATATTAGGAAAATAAAGAAGTAACATTTTTTTTGTGGCTAATTGAAAGAAAAAGTGAGAATTAATTCGGAGCACAGAAGTATTTTTATACAAATACTAATTATTTACTTCATAATATGAGCGGATTTTTTATTTTTTATCTTTTGTGTAAGTTTTACACATTAGATATTTATTGATGCGTAATTATGGAAGGTGTTGAAAATATGGCACTCTCTCCATTTAAAAATTAACTTCTCAATTAATTTTTTACGATCTCCAATATAGAAATAAAATATTTCAAGATTATGTTTCAAAATGAATCTATTTATATTAAAGTTATATGAATCTATTTTCAAAATATACTTCTTTCGTAAGTTGAAAAAAATTGACTACAAAAGTAAAACTACAAATTAATTTAGGATAAAGGGAGTGTTGTGTATGTATGTGTTGGGAAATACGGAGTATTGATTAAATATTTAGAAAGAAAGAAAAAGAAAAGAAAAAGAAGAAGAAGAAAGAGAACTCAAAAGAAAGCAAGAGGAAAGGAATAAAGGTGGAGGATATGGATGCATGTGCGTTTTGCTTTTGGTTGAAATCAAAGGACGTGTCATCCTTTTTTGGCTCTTAGTGTTGGCATGATCTCATTTGGGTATAAAGTCATGAAGAGTGAGTGGTATGTGTGGGTGTGGGTTTTACATAGGGGTGAGCACGTACCGAACCGATACCGAAATTTCCCGAAAAAACTGAGATTACCGAACCGAAAAATACGGAACCAATAAAAATCCGAAAAAGAACCGTACCATACCGAACCGAATGGTCGGTCCGGTATTTGGGATCGGTACGAGGTAACTTCCCATACCGAAAAATCCCGAACCGAATATATATACAAAAACGTTATAAAATAACAATGTTTTTATACTTCTTCATTCAAAAGTAAATTTATTTTGAATAGTTGGTTCAAGTGTAGATGAATTACAAATAATATTTTATTTATATAATCATTTCTTTGAATTTTATTTTTTGTATATTTATATAACAAAATTTAACAAATATTTGAAAATTATTTTGTTATCATTCATTCTCTTTTGTTTGTGAAATATGAAGTATAAATTGAACTAAGTTTTATAAGTATTTTTGCATTTAATTATTCATTATTTTCCAATTGT